GCGGAATTTTCGTAGGCGTCAATTTTGCTGTTTGGTCTCCGGTTTGTCCAGCTTGCGGCGCTTTTGCTCCTTTCTGTGTGCTCTTTGCCCCGACATCTTTAGATGCAGTAGAAGGCTTCTTAGCATCCTTGGGCGGGGTGGCCTTTGTCTTGGGACTTCCCCATTCATTGTCGTCGCCAACAAGGGCTTCCCAAACTTTCTGGGAGTACTCTTTTTGAGTCTTCTCCCTTTTGCCTCCCTTCACAGTGCCCTTCTGTGTTTGAGCAGCAGGCTCAGCCGAGCCCTTTACTGACTGCTTGTCAGCTTTTGCAGCTGTGGATTCAGGCGGACTTGTACCATCCGTTGTCCGCGTGTCCACGTTTTCCGACGGAGTCCGACCGCGGCGTGCGGACGACTCTGCCGCTCCTGACACCGACACCGCCTCAGCCGCAGGCTGGCGCCGCATCTCTGGCGTCACGATCACCTTCGGTTCCGGCAGCTTCCGTGAAGATGCTTGCGGGGTCGAATAGGCTTTCTCCCCCGGTTGTCTGTAAAGATACTTCCGCTCGCTGGTTTTACTTGGTTTCCTAACCAGCGGAATCTGCGAGGCTTTGTTGTCCGATCGGGACTGTACCAGACGGGGATGGGTGCGAGGATCCTTGCGCGGTGACCTATGGTAGATGGGGACAGGCCTCTCGGCAGGGTCCTCATCTTCTTCATCACTTTTCAGGTGCATTTTCAGCACCGCTTTTACGTGGCACGACTTACATGTCATTCTTGGGGGATCGTACGTCCAGGTATGATCATGCTGGTGCTTTTTGGTGCGGCAGATAGGCACGGGGACTTCGGTGTGCCTCTCCTCATCATCATCTTCCCCCTCACTGTCCGTTTCCAAATGGAACTTCATGAGCAGGGTTTCGTCACAACTGCCGCACTTGAATCTCGGAGGCTTGTAGCTCCAGTTTTGGGCGTGGTCCGCCAGGCAGCACGGTGTCTTCTCCCCGGGCACGACCTGGTAGTGGTTGTCACGCTGGTGCCAGGCGCTTTCACCGCGGTCGGCGTGCTGGCACAGTTTGAGCTGGTTTTGCTCTGTCGATTGCGAATCATCGGACTGGCGATACAGATGAACCGTCAGCTGACTGTTGGATTCTATCGCCAGTGGATCTGTTTGAGAGTCATCCGTAGACACGATCTCCACGGGGAGTAACTCTTCAGAACACACTGACCCTGAGTCTTCAACCACTGACCCTGAGTCTTCAACCAAGTTCCTCATTGAGGTCGACATCAGCAGTTGGTTGAGACACGCGTCGATTTTGGCAATATCCTCGTCTGCTTCTTTTCTCATTTCCTCAACTTCCTCCGGGGAAAACTTCGACGCGTTTTCCTCGATTGCGAGGAGTAAATCGGTTGAATCCCTTCTCGCGATGTGGAGCTCTAAGGACATTTCCCTCCGCTGGGTGAAACGGTCCACTTTCTGCGCTATCTCATGTCCAAAGGTGCCCTTGTGTTGGACATACGGTTTTGGGACAAAAAACTTTTCTGGCAAAGGCGGGGGGTCTGGGATGTTTGTGCGGAACTTGGTTGTTTTTGCACCGACACCGACTTCTGTCGTGCCGTGTCCATCGCCCTCGTCATGCCGAGCTTTCTTCTGAGGCAAGTTTGACCCCTGCGTGGGGTACATCGTCATGACAGTGTACTGGCTGTTTGGATCCGGTACTGGCTGCCTGGCACCAGCACCAACCAGATCCAGCAGTGGCCCAGGTAACGCCTGGGAGACTTCCTGCCCAGAGAAGCCTGAGAGAACTCGTCTGGATTCAAACGAGATTTCGGAAATCAGAAGTTCCATGGGTGGCAGCGCTGGAGGGGGTGGGACCAGTCCGGATCCATTTGAGATTCCGGACATCAGTAACTCCATAGGCGGCAAAGCCGGGGGCGAGTGGACTCGTCCGAATCCTACCCCATGCACCCGCGGGTGTATCACGGCTTGTGCAAGACGTGCGGAAGAAGCACGTGTGAGTACGGCCTCCTTACGGTAAAGTTGCAATCGCACGGAGATCGTACGTTGTAAGCACGTACAACTCACTTACCACTTGCGCAACGTACGATGCACGCAACCGCTCACGGCCAGACGTGGCGTGCAGACCACACTCTTACACTTTGTGCAACCGTGCGAGTGACGTGCGAGTGACGTGCGTCGACGCCACTCCTTCCCCACGTTTTCAGAAAAAAAAGTAGCAGACGTAGCCTCCCAAAAAACGTACGGACAAAAAGCACGCACGGCGGGTTGTGACCGTAGCTTTAAGGAAGCAACGCATGGCGTGGAAAGACAGTGATTTCAAATGGCATGCTTACCACCAGCTCACCACCCGGTCCCATAGCGAAACCCCAAGGGGATGTATCGTTCGCGATGGTACGGACAAACTCACCACGCCTGGTGAACATGTCTATCCGGCTGTCATTAATGTTTACCACGATAATCCGACCCAAGGTGTCCAGACAAATACCAGTATACAGTCCACATGTACCTCGTCTAACAGTGCTTCCAAATTCAAATAACTTGTCTCCGGAGTGACTATACACCATAACGGTTTTCCCGTTTGTAATCAGGATATTTCCCTCGCTGTCCGATGTGATTCCCCCTATCGTAACGGGAGCGTTAAAACTACGATAGACGGAGCCGTTTGGATGAATCATCGTTACTGTATCCCTGCTTCCCACGATGATTTCATTGTTGCACACGTCTACGGCAATGACGGCATGGAAACAAGGTTCCACGACGCGTACTTTAAACGCCTTTATTGGCGCGCCGTTCCTACTGTACTGTACGACATCGATATATCCGTTATTGGCTTCGCCGTTTATTCGCCCTGCGACCCACAGGTAGCCAGGCTCTACGCCAATGGCAACGTCTCTTGGTAGAATGTCGACGGCACCGTTTTCACCCGGAAGCACCGTTGGGAAGGTGCGGAGATAGGTCCCATTCATGTTGACGACATGAAGAGCTTTAGACGGAACGTAATCGGTCACAAATATCTCATAGTCAGCAGACACGGCCACTCCGTACCCAAAGCTTCCCCTCCCATGGAAGGTGATCTTCTCCAACGTTCTGCCATGAGTGATAAGAGTGATAAGTCTCTCCTATACTTAATGGACTTTTATGTAGATACTTTAGCCCTGCCTATACCGGGCTTTTTTGCCCATAGCAACGCCGGTGATGTCATCAAATGACGTCATGCATATTAAAGATATCCGCCATCTTGAATTTTCAAAATAGTTTTTTTTCATGATAAAGCCTAAAATACATTGTAAACATACTAAAGACCTTCATTTAAACCTTTTTTGGAAAAAGAAATGGAAGTATTGATGAAATTTTAATGAAAATAACCTGTATATACCTGTTCTAATGATATGGTCCGCCATCTTGGATTTTGGCCAATGACGTCATCAAAGTAGCATAAATTATGCATATTTAATGATAAAATTTACATAAAATTATATGGGATGTTATTAATATTACAAACCATGAGTAACTTGACATAAAACCCATAAAATTCTATTGTTGAAACAAAAAGTACTAAATTTAGCAAAAAATGCCTGTCAGAAACCCGTTGCCATCGCAACACAAAAATTATTATCTTATTCCAATGATAGAAAATTGTTGCCAACGATATTCTAGGAAAAGTCACCAAGTTTGGCCGTTCTAGCTCTAGCCGTTCAGACAGTAGGTGACATCAAAGTTGGCGCGGGCACTTTTAGCCCGTCTGGGCACTTTTGGCACGTCTAGGTAGGGTTAATGCATTGTGTTCTATTTTATTGTGTTCTTTATTTTCTCATGTAAGCCCATACTGATTTAATTTTATTGATGGCATCCACTCGCGCATTGATTTTGGCCAGAGTTCAACTCCGAGACTAAACCCTGGGTTCCATCCTTCGTAGTCAATGATAGCTAGCAACAATATGGGGCCGGTCGTAACTACGAAGGACAGCCACGCCAATCTACTATCTCTAGAACTCGGCTGAGACTCATAAATGCTACAAAGGCTAGGTCAGCATTTTATTCCTGTGGTTTAGCACCGTTTTTTTTCGTTTGGGATTGACTTTTTTTATTGACCCGTTGACACTAGTCTCGGGGTCTTTAGAGGATGTCATCCATAAAATTAAGTTAGCATAAATTAATATAAAATTGTTGCCAGATATATTTTACGAAAAGTCACCAAATTTGATGCTTTTAGCACAATCCGTTCAGGCGCTATCTGTGATGAAAGTTGGTGCGGGCCTCAAAAGCCCCCCCCCCCTTCCGGGTCTGAATAGGGTTAAGGAAGCAACGCATGGCGTGGAAAGACAGTGACTGCAAACCATTGGCAAGCAACAAGCTCACCACCCGGTCCTATAGTGATACCCCACGGCCGTTCAATATGCGCGATAGTACGGACAAACTCACCACGGCTGGTGAACATGTCTATCCGGCCATCCTTATGGTTTGCCACGATAATCCGACCCAAGGTGTCCAGACAAATACCACTAAACTCACGCAGCAGGAGGTCATTCGTTTCTTGTCTAACAGTGCTTCCAAATTCAAATAATTTGTCTCCGGAGTGACTATACACCAGAACGGTTTTCGCGTTCTTAAGGGTAATCAGGATATTTCCCTCGCTGTCCGATGAGATTCTCCCTATCATAACTCGCTCCCTAGCGTTTAAACTCCGATAGACGGAGCCGTTTGGATAAAACATCATTATTGTATCCCTGTGTCCCACGATGATTTTATTGTAGCACACGTCTACCGCAATGACGGCATGGAAATAAGGTTCCACAAATGTAATTCAATCATCTTTATCGGCTTTCCAATCCTACTGTATTGTACGGCAAAGCCATTATACGGTGCTTTTTGCCCCACAACCCACAGGTAGCCAGGTTCTACGTCAATAGCAACGCCACTAGAGTGAATATAGTCGGTACCGTTTTCACCCGGAAGCACCGTCGGGAAAGTACGAAAATGGGTCCCGTTTATGCTAAAGACATGCACTTTTTTCCCAATATAATCGGTTACAAATATCTCGTAGTCAGCAGACACGGCCACTCCTAACCCCAGGCTTCCCTTCCCAGGGAAGGTGGTCTTCTCCAACGTTCTGTCACCGCTTTCTGTTATGAGTGATAAGAACAGTCTCTCCTATACTTTATGAATTTTAATGTAGATACTTTAATGCATTGTATTCTATTTTATTGTGTTCTTTATTTTCATATGTAAGCCCATACTGATTTAATTTTATTGATGGCATCCACTCGCGCATTGATTTTGGCCAGGGTTCAACTCCGAGACTAAACCCTGGGTTCCATCCTTCGTAATCCATGATAGCTAGCAACAATATGGGACCGGCGGTAACTACGGAGGATAACCAGGCCAATCTACTACCTCTAGAGCTCGGTTGAGACTCATAAATGCTACAAAGGCTAGGTCAGCATTTTATTCCTGTGGTTTAGCACCGTTTTTTTCGTTTTGGATTGACTTTTTTTATTCACCCGTTGACACTAGTCTCGGGGTCTTTAAAGGACGTCATCCATAAAATTAACTCAATATGGCCTAAACAAGGAGGTTGCCTCCTTGGCCTAAAAGCTGATAAAACCCAATAGAAAGATACATAAGTAGAGTACATGCGTTGGGGGAAGGCAGAGACCCACCAAATACACACTACGCATTAAACACTGACACAAGTGGAACCGGGCCCTGCTGGATTTTCAAGAATTCGGTAGTTGCTATCCCCCCCCCCCCGTACTGTATTCAAGTATGCAAAAAGTGTCAAACAAATTGGGTCAAGAGTATCATTTCAACCCGATGATCCCTATAAATGCATGCATACTGCATGGCTTGGGGCTACACATAGTCTTACCTTCACTTTGTGAGTTGGTGGAGACGGCTGGGAGCGTTCCGACAGATCTCCTGCATTTGATTTGTATAGAGGTGATGGTAGTAGTAGTAGTAGTAGTAGTAGTAGAAGCAGTTGTATCCACAGTCGATGTCAGAAAGTCAACGTATTTTGTATTAAGCTGTATGGAAGAAGCAGTAAGTAAGGTATTGTCTATAACAGCCTTGTGCGTATCACATATTTGTTTGTTATTAGTCTTCATTGATGGAAATGAAATTACATGTAGCTTATATAGTGCAATGTGGTTTCACTAGTTATGGACGCGATTGACGAATCAAGGCGACTGCGTGAGTAGCAAACTGTTGAGCTTTTACTAAAATGGATGTTGACAGCAAAAAACAATATGGCGGCCTACATGACTGACTTACAACGTGAGCACGTGACCGTCTAGTCAAGATCGAACACGTTAGCCACTCTGCCAACTGGCGCAAGGACAAAAAATTCCACAACGCGAATTCGGAGATCTCATACCTCCATGAAATATGTAGAGTTAAAGTAATTTTTTTGGGAGGGGGGATTTGTCTCATTGAATATGGGAATAAGGTCGTGATTTACATAATTCAGTTTGTAAAACAGGAGGTCCACATTTGTCATTTGTCTTCTTCTTCCAATGACCTACCAATATACTAAATATCACAATCCATACAGGCATTCTGAAGTTATTATGACTACAAATGTGCGGACACACACACGGAGAGACAGACAGAGTGAAACACACACTGAACACCAAAAACAATAACTCCATTTTTCATAATGGTAAATTTGTGAATGACAATGCTATAAAACAGTGGAATACCTGTTGTGGCCGGGTACCAAAACGTAACCAGAAAAAGGATCCACCGATGATACACGCCACAAGGACCAGAGCCGCATATATTGCAGCTAAGCAGAGCCGGCGACGCGTCCATCCTAAAATATTGCAGATTAGGCCACAACAAGTTAATGCTTTTAATTAATGAAAAAAATGACGCGATTGGGCGGGAAAAACTAGCCTAGACATCCTATGATAGACCCAGTAGTAGTACTACGATAGGAGCTATGACGTTAACATATCTGAGTGATT